AGCCGCGTACCTATTACGTGAAATACTCCTACTGGTATTACACGGGAATTGGCGCGAATCGATAAAATCACATTCGTTCGATTTCAAAGCATCTGTCACACGACCATACAAGATTACACTGAATATATTATTATAGGCATCTAAAATACCTTTTCCACAAGTCTCATGCCACCAACGAAGCCTCATAATGAAGATATTAGTCTAATCATCGCTCCGTTGCTGCTTCTTAGCGATTAACAAGATAAAGAAAGTCGTCCAGTGAAGCGGAGAAGATATTTCATGTCGAGAGTTGAAAGGTTTTTTGTTTTACGCGACATTTTTGCAACTTTACAAGAGAGCCATTAAAAAGCTTAAAATAATAATAAAACTTCTTCAGCTATTTCAATTGGGTAAATTTAGCCGAATTTCAATTGAGAGCATCGAAGTGTCGATGTTAATCTATACTAATATTATAAAGCTGAAGAGTTTGTTTGTTTGAACGCGCTAATTTCAAAAACTACTGGTCCGATTTGAAAAATTCTTTCAGTGTTAGATAGCCCATTTATCGAGGAAGGCTATAGGCTATATAACATCACGTTAAGACCAATGTAAGCGGAGCACCAATAAAGAATGTTTCAAAATCGGAGTTTTAATCCCTTTTGAAAGCTTCCACTGCGTGCCTGAGTTTCTCGCCGGATCTTCTCAGTGGGTCGCGTTTCCGATCCGGTGGTAGATTCTGCGAAGCACGGCTCTTGCCAGGGCTAGTGCTATACTCCCGGTTAGAGCCCCGTGAGCTCACCCAACACGTTAAGGCGAAACTAAAATAGCCTCTCAAGGCATAAGTAGGAAAAAAAGCGTGTCTTTTAATGGAAGGCAATGTTAAACGTCTTGACCGGAATAAAACCTTAATTAGAAAACATAAAGTTGTTTATGATCATTTTGGCGGATTTTTTAGATTCAATTTTTTTTGTTTTGTTTAATTATTCAAATTAATTTTAACGACAATTAAGCTTAAAAGCATTTCGTATTCAATTTCTTTTGTAAATAAATGTAGTTTTATTGACATGTTTATTTTAGTTTTTATTGAGATGATATTATTATCCTTGTTTTAGACTGTGTTCACACGGTTTACAGTTCCGCTACTATTTCTGTCGCGAATTAGTCATGCCTTAAGATTTGAGGTTCTAATTTTACTATATGAGTCGCTTCGACCTCAAGACGTCTATAGGTAATGGAAATCTCAATATGAATCCACTTCAAATACAAAAAAAAAATAATTATATGTGAGGCATTTATTCGACTCTCATGCGATACAAGATAGGTTTAAAATTGAATTTACCTAATGAGTCAATCAATATAGGTTCCCTTATTTTCAGTGAAGTAAAATCCTGCGAATTTACTGGTGGTAGGACTTCTTGTGAGACCGCGCGGGTAGGTACCACCGCCCTGTCTATTTCTGCCGTGAAGCAGTAATGCGTTTCGGTTTGAAGGGTGTGGCAGCCGTTGTAACTATACTGAGATCTTAGAACTTATATTTCAAGGTGGGTGGTGCATTTACAATGTAGATGTCCATGGGCTCCAGTAACCACTTAACTCCAGGTGGGCTGTGAGATCGTCCACCCATCATAACGCTGGCAACGGTTGCGCGTTTAAGTCTGCTAGCTTAAGGATTCATAAATAAATAGATTAGATCGGATTTTGTTTTTTTTTGTAGCCTTTTCGATTTCAGCTATTTATAATATATAAATAAATACACATATATAAAAATACATACATATATAAAAAAAAACCCTACGTATGCTGATAGCCTTAAGAGGCTATTTCAGCTTCTCCTTGACATGTAGGTGTGCTCACGGGGCTCAAGGAGTGTTACTAACACTGACCCTAGCTAGAGCAGTGTTTCGCAGAATCTACCACTGGATCGGAAACGCGACCCACTGAGAAGATCCGGCGAGAAACTCAGTGGGCTGTGTCTATGGGTTAATTCACTCGTCGAGCCCTTCGTCGCAAGCGACAGGTTCGGCGAGGACGGTGCTTATGGTACCTAAAAGCACCGTTACTGGATCGGGAGGATCCGTAAAGACGTGTTTAGGGCGACGTCGACTGTTTACCATTCGGTCCACAGGATCGGGTATGTAATTTCCGGCGGCCACGACAAGAGGGTTTTCGTGTCGTGCCGCCTTCTCAAAATGGCGCAATGATGCCGACTGTATATACTTACTGATTGAGTCAAGCTCCAGGTCATCATGGAGATCCATGTTCCTTAAGAACCATGTTACTCCGACGGCTATCCTACAAAAACAGGATTGAATAACTTGAATTCAAGTTAGTGCCGGCCGCGTGAGCGGACACTACACTTGCATAGGTCATGACGGGGCGTATGCAAGTTTTGTAGAGTGTCACCTTATTACGAAGGGACTATTTACTTCGTTTGCAAATCATGGGATGAAGGCAGGCCAGGCCATACGCTCGTCTGCCTACTAGGGCAATAAAAAGTTATTTAAGAAATGCAATGTCAAACCATAAAATCAGTTTAAATCATGTTAGTATAGATGGTCGTGGCCTAAAGGATAAGACGTCCGGTGCATTCGTGTGTAGCGATGCAACGGTGTTCGAATCCCGCAGGCGGGTACCAATTTTTCTAATGAAATACGTACTTAACAAACGTTCACGATTGACTTCCACGGGGTAGGAATAACATCGTGTAATAAAAATCAAACCCGCAAAATTATAATTTGCGTAATTACTGGTGGTACGACGTCTTGTGAGTCCTCACGGGTAGGTACCACCACCCCGCCTATTTCTGCCGTGAAGCAGTAACGCGTTTCGTTTTGAGGGGCGGAGCAGCTGTTGTACTGTAAAAACTGAAACCTTAGAACACATATCTCAAGGTCAGGTCATCTATTCATCCAAGCAATAAATTGATATTTTCTTATTTACATCGCTCCAACCAAACAAGCACATACTAAAGAAAACGTCCGATATATGAACCTTCGAGCATGTCACAGAGCGAGTTCGTAAGCGAATAGCCAGCTTTATCGGTGACGTCACAGACCACCCACGGCCACGTTTAATTAAGACATCATGAGATTTTATCGTCTCAACGATTTTATACGTAATTATTATATGTAATTAAATCGAGAAAGGAGCTTGGCGATTTCGCGTCGATATTTTATAGGCGTGCATAGTTGAAGCGTTTGAGACGCGAACGCTTGAGGCTTGAGGTTTGGAAGAAAATATGTTATGTTGAATTACAACGAACTTGGACCGTGATTCCGATGCTACTTTAAAATAATTCGTCTTTTTATGTGATGTCTACATATACATATGCAAGCAAGCTGGACTGTGTATACATGGGTCGCTGTGGTGCCATCTCCCATGGGATGTTACGACAGTAATTCATTGTGATGTAAATATAACTACTAACATAGGTGTAAGTCTTACTAACAATTTGTCTTTCTAACAAATTTGTATGAGTCATGGTTACTTGCAATAAAAACATTATTATTATTATTATTATAAGCTGGTTGTAAAAAGAAATGACACAAAAATAAATTATGAATTATGGACTTTTTGGCGGGAAGGCGAGCAGCAAAGTTGCGTGAATTGTTTTAATTTATCTATTTAGTGTTTCTTCAGGTTTAATAATGTAATAACAATGGTTTATTAACTGTTTAGTAACCGTGAAAGTGCACAAATATGGGAGAACGAAATAAAGCCACTGAACCTAGCTTCTCGGAATTATCCAAAATATCCACTGACAAAGTCTCCGTAAATACTACAATTTTACTGAGATTATATTTTATTCCATACTCTAGCGACCCGCCCTCGCTTCGGAAACTGTAATTTATTATTGATTTCTCCACTATTTAATGGATGTTATTATACATATAAACCTTCCTCTTCAATCACTCTATCTATTTAAAAAAACCGCATCAAAATCCGTTGCGTAGTTTTAAAGATTTAAGCTTTTTTTATTTTATTGCTTAGATGGGTGGACGAGCTCACAGCCCACCTGGTGTTAAGTGGTTACTGGAGCCCATAGACATCTACAACGTAGATGCGCCACCCACCTTGAAATACAAGTTCTAAAGTCTCAGTATAGTTACAACGGCTGCCCCACCCTTGAAACCGAAACGCATTACTGCTTCACGACAGAAATAGGCAGGGCGGCGGTACCTACCCGCGCGGACTCACAAGTGGTCCTACCACCAGTGACAAGCACACATAGGGACAGACAGATATAGGGACAGAGAATGCGACTTGGTTTCATACTATGTAGTGATGATCTCATCTTATTTCATTTCATGTCAATTGATTAATGTATGTGGAAAATGTAGTTTATTTAGGAGGCTTAAACGACAAAGTCAAGATCTTCCACCGAGCGGATGATATTGCTCGGTAGACCGACGCCGCGACAGTCCGAATGTTGTTGTTCGGAACTTGTATATATGCAAGCTCACCTTGAAAATGTCGTAAGCGAGATTCAGACATCTGTCAATTATCTTGTGTTAAATGATGGCTACCCGCCACAGCTTATTTTGAAATTAATAATCATCTTTCATAAAAAAAGAATATACAAAAGATTAGGCTGTATGGTATAATACCTTTGGCGTTCCATTTGGAAAAATAGAACTACTACTTATGAAATGACACCAAAAATTAAACATAGGATTATCTTTAAAAAAAAAACTAAACAAAAATCGTAATTAAATTCAAGTCCTTACGATGATTTTTTTTTTGCCACCCATTTGGTTTTATGTGGTTACTGGAGCCCATAGACATCTACAACGTAAATGCGCCACACATCTAGAGATATAAGTTCTAAGGTCTCAGTATAGTTACAACGGCTGCCCCACCTTTCAAACCGAAACGCATAACTGCTTCACGGCAGAAAAAGGCGGGGCGGTGGTACCCACCCGCGCGAACTCACAAGAGGTCCTACCACCACTAAAAGATGATATTGTTAATGTCTTTTGTTGTACCTTAAATTAATTGATTATTTTTCTCTTTTGTTTCAGGAAGAAGTAAGTACGGGTCCCGCTCAGGGCTGCCACGTGAGATAATTCCATTTATTTTTCAAAACGAATTCATGTGTGTTGTGTCATTGTCTCTAAATAAACAGGGTGTTTTGGAGCCGTAGCCTATTGCTAACTGAATAACACTAAAAATAATACAGAAATAAAATCATTAATTGTGGTATTTTATCAGCACGCAATGTATAGCAATATTAAAATCAGCTGACAGGGTCACCGACCTTCATTCGGGTTCCCAAATATCGAACCTACTAGAACAATTATTGCTCACTTCTAGATTATATTAATTTCGGATTCTTTACACCCTGTATATTTAAATTCACAAGCGTTTTTACTTTTACAATCAATAAAAACAACATACCTTATATTAATTAGAATACGAACTTTTAGAGTTACTACTAGTGGTCCCGCAGTAGTCGAAACTCGACTATAATTAATTGAAATTATAAGTTTGAACAATATTATGGTTCTATTGTCAAAGAGTTTAACATAATCACAGATTTCGCCAAGACTATACTATAGACAAATAATATTAAAGATAAACAATATTAACCTTTTCTCAATTTGACCACAGATTTTAAGTATTATTAAAAATTTGACAATAAACAAAGAGTATACATATGTGTGTGCCAAATACATGGTAGCGTGTGTAATGTTTTTTTTTTGTTGATTTAATGTATTATTAAAGAATAATTTAAAAAAAAATAGCATTCTGCATGGTACAAAGTTTTTGCTTCATGTCTGAATACAAACTGGTACAAAATGGTACCTACATACTCTAGTTAAATATAAATAAACTACATAAAAAAATGCGAAGAAACTTTTTCCCTAACCTATGATTATCATTTTTTATATATACCTAGTCAGGTCATAAATTCTGTCACATGTTTAATGTAAAATAATTGAAACAAGTTTATTCATTATGTAACCATTCATATACCAAAATGAACTTAACAAAACATAAATTCTTATGACACTAAAGTTTATTCAAAATGACCTCCGTGATTTTGAATACAGGCCTTCAATCTGCGCGGCCAGTCCTCTATCGCAGCACGAACGAGGTCCATGTCAATATCGGGGGCTGCCTTAATCAAGGATGTCTTGAGTGACTCCAAATTGGGATGAGGCTTTGAGCACGCCTTTTCCTCCAAGTGCTGCCATATCTTGTAATCTAACGGATTCAAATCTGGACTGGAGGAGGGCCAGTCTTCGTGCCGGATGAAGTCGATTTCACGCGCCGCCAGCCAGTCTTGTGTGCTCTTCGCTCTATGAGCTGGCNCACGCGTGAAATACCATCTTATCCCAAGGACAAGCACAAGGCAGTTCGGGTTCATGCCACAAAGGAGCACCGAGGACTCCCTCTATACCATGATGCAACATATTTCTAACAATCTTAAGGAAAAGAAAATAGTAACGTTGGTGTCATTAGATATAGAGGGAGCCTTTGATTGCGCCTGGTGGCCTGCCATCAGAGTCCGATTAGCCCAGGAAAACTGTCCACTGAACCTGCGGAAAGTACTGGACAGCTATCTCACGGAAAGAAAAGTCCGAGTGAGATACGCAGGGGAAGAGCACAGCGTGAATACCAGCAAAGGCTGTGTGCAGGGCTCAATCGGTGGCCCCGTGCTGTGGAACCTCTTGCTGGATCCACTCCTGAAAAGTCTGGACACCCAAGGAGTGTACTGTCAGGCATTCGCAGACGACGTTGTCCTTGTTTTCGACGGAGACACGGCGTTACAAATTGAAAACCGGGCCATTGCGGCTCTCGAACATGTTCAGAAATGGGGTATCAGTAACAAACTGAAGTTCGCACCACAAAAAACCAAAGCTATGACCTTAACAAGGAGACTGAAATATGATACCCCACGGCTGAACATGGGCGGGACAGTCATTCCCATGTCAGAAGACATTAAAATTCTAGGGGTGACCGTCGACAGCAGGTTGACGTTTAACGCACACGTCTCGAATGTTTGCAGAAGGGCGATTGAGGTGTACAAACAGCTAGCCAGAGCAGCCAAAGCGAGTTGGGGTCTACACCCCGAGGTCATCAAACTAATATATACTGCCACCATAGAGCCCATAGTCCTGTACGCAGCCAGTGTATGGGCGCCGGCAGTCGCCAAATTGGGCGTAATTAAACAACTAGCCGCTGTGCAGAGGGGAATTGCACAAAAGGTGTGCAAAGCGTATCGCACCGTGTCACTCAATTCAGCTTTGATCCTGGCGGGTATGCTCCCCCTAGACCTCCGAGTTCGTGAGGCGGCCTCATTATACGAAGCCAAGAAGGGACAACTGCTGCCGGGACTGGCTGACGCGGAGATAGAACAAATGACGCCTTTTGCAGAGATGCCACACCCCGTGGAACGTGCGGATCTACGAATAGTCTGCTTGGAGGACCAAGAACAAGTCGACGGTAACAGCGACTACAACGAGTGTATTTTTACAGATGGTAGTAAAATCGGAGGCAAAGTAGGAGCCGCGCTGTCGATTTGGAAAGGGGACACCGAGACTAAGACCCGCAAACTTGCCCTATCAAACTACTGCACAGTCTACCAGGCAGAGCTGCTGGCGCTGTGTGTGGCGACGTCGGAAGTCAGGAAGAGTGGAAGCAAATCTTTTGGAGTCTATAGCGATTCCATGTCGGCCCTCCAAACCGTTGCAAATTATGATAGCCCCCATCCACTGGCAGTCGAAGCAAGACAAAACATTAAAGCCTCGTTACTCCAAGGCAAGGCTGTCACCTTTCATTGGATAAAAGCTCACGCAGGGCTGAAGGGCAATGAGAGGGCCGACGGACTTGCAAAGGAAGCCGCTGAAAACTCCAGGAAAAGACCAGACTACGATCGCTGCCCGATCTCATTCGTCAAGCGAAGCCTACGAATGACCACGCTTGAGGAATGGAACCGGCGCTATACAACTGGCGAGACGGCATCCGTCACTAAATTGTTTTTCCCAGATGCATTGGTTGCGTACAGAATAGTGAGAAAGATACAGCCCAGTAACATACTCACACAAATCATGACGGGGCATGGCGGGTTCTCGGAATACTTATGTCGATTTAAGTGTAAAGAGAGCCCGTCATGCATTTGCGACCCAGCAGTGAAAGAAACCGTTCCTCATGTGCTGGTGGAATGTCCCATCTTTGCACAGGCTAGACATGACATCGAGCAAAAGTTGGACGTGAAAATTGGACTTGACACGTTGCATGAAATAATAATAGATACAAATAGAAATCAGTTTTTGAAATACTGCATAGCTATCATTGGAATAGTAATAAAAAGAAATAAATAGAAAATAAAGTATGTTTACAATAATATTAAGATATATTAGATATAAGCATACAATATATTAAGCAAAATCAATAGTATATATATACGCAGTAAAAATAAGAAAACAAAGGAAATGGGCTTGACATAAATTAAAACTTACCTTCCTCTTCTCCTGTCCAGCTCCCTGGAAAA